CAGAGGGTGAAGCTGATGTGTGGTCCGACTCAGTGTGTGTATGTGTGTGAGTGTGTGAGTGTATGTGTGTGTGTGAGAGAGTCAAATATGTACGTAGGAAGTAAGCCACAGGAAGAGGCGTGCCTCTTGCGTTCGATTTGATGGATAGATCTTGAATTGATCGAACATTCGATACTGGGTTCAAAATTTGAGTGATTACACATTAAAATCTGTAAATTAAGAATGATATTATATAAAAGAAGAAGACAAGAACGACTTTTCGAAATTGGTGCAAGACGAAGTCTTAAAGCTGCCACAATGCAAACGCATTTAAGACTCACAATTTTATAAATATAAAAAATAATATTAAGTATTATTCAAACCAATCAAACTAGTTGGGAGCCAAACCAAGCACAAGAAAGATAACAAATCTGGTTTTACTATCAGAATAGAGACTCTCACCATTAAAACCTGAGAGATTTGCACCGATATGCAGGCAGGGTTTCGATATTGATATTCGATAACCGGAAAACAACCAGTATTAAACGGGCACTAGGCGGAACTACGTTCAAAATCAAGGAGCTGTAAACTTGATAGGTAGGTTCGGAGTACGACGAGTTCATTCATACGGACGAACGTGGGGACAGACGGACAGACTGACGGGCATAGCTAGATCGAGTTGACTTTTGCTGATGATCAAGAATATATATACTTTATGGGATCAAAGGTGAATTGTTTAAAAGAATTTTCTCTAAGCTTGGAAACTTTAATTATCAGAAGCCAACTTCAGTAAATAAATTTCCCTTAAACAGCAAGTTGTTAGCACTGAAAGACCTATTAAAGCATTTTAAGAGTCTTTCAGAAAACACCAGAAACAAATACTTGGAAAAACAGACCTAATAAAATGTTGGTCGACCTGTCAAAGTTACCTTTTGAACCCGCGGGTCAACCTAAGCGAGTCTAACTGACACATCAGTCGAGTTGCTTAGATCTTTGAGTGACTTAATGATCCTTGTCGGAAAATCCACAAAATTTGATGCGATAAAGCAACCCACACACACACACCCACACACCCTCTCACACACACACACACATGGACAGGCAAGTGCCTCATGCTCCATTAGCAGCAGACAATTTGTACCTACCGAAAATCCATCAAATGACGAGGCCCACAATAAAAACCAATTCCAATGAAATTTTTCATGCCACACAAAAAAAAAAATGGAAAAGCAAGAAGACAGCCGCACGAATGGACAGAAAGCAGCGTGGCAAACAAATAGCCCAGCTCGCTGACTAGGCGATGCCGCATGGACTCGGTCGGCAGCAACCAGAAATCTCCGAGAAGCTCAAAAACCCTGCTGCCAATCCCCCTCCTTAGCCCAGCTTTTTTTATGGTGCAACAAATCTCAAGCTGAATAAAGAGAAGAAAAAATAAACAAGAAGAAGCAACGGGCAATGACGAAGACCAACGCAAAGTGAACAAGTGGAAAACGGCTAATTGTGGCACGCCGAAGCTTGAATACCCTGCCAGACATGAGGCTTGATTGCTTGTTTCCAAATATATTATGTAGTAGTTGTATAGTAGTACGGTTCGGTAAGGTTTCGTGGTTATACAATTTTTGGATTTCTGTGAAGATATTGAGGGAAAAAGAAAAATATTCCATAAGTAAAAACTCAGTTTTGTGAATGCCTAGCTATGATATTGCATGATGTAGTTTGATATAGTATGATACAGTATGATGCAGTATGATGTAGTATGATGTAGTATGATGTAGTATGATATAGTATGATATAGTCTAATGTAGTATGATATAGTATGATGTAGTATAATATAGTTTGATATAGTATGATATAGTATGATATAGTATGATATAGTATGATATAGTATGATATAGTATGATATAGTATGATATAGTATGATATAGTATGATATAGTATGATGTAGTATGATGTAGTATGATGTAGTATGATATAGTATGATATAGTATGATTACGTCTGATATAGTTTGATATAGTATGATGTAGTATGATATAGTATGATTCTGTATGATGTAGTATGATACAGTATGATAAAGTAAAGATATAGTATGATATAGTATGATATAGTATGATATAGTATGATATAGTATGATGTAGTATGATATTGTATTCTATAGTTTGATGTAGTATGATGTAGTTTGATACAGTTAAACGTGAGGTTTGGCTTATATTTAATAAGCCATTGAGTTATACAAATAGATGGAAAGTTTGGTCGGAATATATTGAAAAAGAAATAAAATTTCCATCTGATCCTTGCTATGACAACTATATAGTATAATATTTTTCGTGTGCTTGCGATAATATGCAACATTTCAGGACTGATAAAAAAGTTTGCTTGTATTGAGTTTTAGAAAGAGTAATATGACTATATCAACTTGCCTATAAATACAGATCAGAAACATATATAAACTTAACCTAGCAAATGCTTGCTGCCAGGCGTGGTAAGTTTCATGACAAAATTATAAGGGTATAAAAACTGAACAAACAATGCGGCCAAGGCGGCAACAACAGCAGCAACAGCAACAGCAACGCAGCGCACCCGCGCCGCCTCTGCCCCTACCTCAAGACGACGACAAGTTGAAGCAGGAGGCGGGCTCGGACAGCAGAGCGAAGCGTGGCGGGGGCAACAGGCAACTTTAGCCACGGCCACCACAATGACGAGAGCCGTAAGACCAAGAGACGATGACGTTGTGGCTATTGCCTGAGTGTAAAAGTGTGTGTATGTGTGTGTGTGTGTGTGCAATACCATATTATTAAGTGTAGCCAGAAGCAATTAAGTGTAGATAAGCAAACAATAATGTTCCTAGTCACGTACCAAACAGTCTTAGGACATTCTCTCACTTAGTGGCCCAGTCCGAGTTCTTGACTCCGCCAGTTTCCCAGTTCAGTACGGTTGGTAAGCCCAAACCCCCCACCCCCCACCCCCTGCCCCAGCTGCTGCCTCTTGTTGCCGGGCTCTGGTTGCCTCGGCGCTGATTACTCGCCGCTGTTTGCTGGTCCTGAACTTCTCTTGATGTTCAATCACTCAAGTGTATTGGCCGGCAACGATTTCAGCTCGCCTTCAGTTCAAGTTTCCAGCCCCCAAACCAGCAGCACCCACACCCTGCACAGCTGCTGTGTTTACTCAGTTGTTGCTGTGTCTGTCTTTGATACATTTAATTTCATTAGATGCACCCCACGACAACAAATTGTCGGGGAAATAAATACATAGCTCTAGTGGGCATAGTGGGCATAGTGCCATTTAGTCCATAGTGTCCCCCAGATTGACAGAGGGTTCGGCATCGGGTTTGGAGTTTGCAATTGGTATTAGTTGCATGGCTTCACATGGGGTGACAGTTGTGTTTACCTGTCAACTTGGCTAGCAATATGCCTGAGCTGGATATAGGACCTAAAAGCAAACCTCTAACCTAACCTTAAACATTGCTCTAATCAACTTTTCAATTTCTTCGATATTTGAGATGAAAACTCTGGTTGTCAATATGTTTGTGTGGAACATGAAATAATTTTAGCAGCTGGCAACATTCTTTAAGCATTGCCAATTGTTAAAATAAACGTTCAGTGAGCGTTGCCACTATGTAAAAAAATTACACTTAATTATAGAAAATTGGCTGAATGAAAATGGTTACCTAATATCTAAGCTAATCTAAAGTATGCAAAAAGTTGTCTCTATGATTAACTCAAAATATATAACTGCTGGCAATTTAAAATTTATACTGCCCTCAACGTTGCCATCTCATAAGAAATTCAATAATTCCAATTTAGAGCAAAGTACTAAAATTGAATGGAAACCCCGCAAGCAGGTGAAGATAATTGCAAGTTGGCAACGCATAAATTTTTTAAATGTGACAACGTCCAGTTATCAAAGATAATTGCCAGTATATCGGTCAAATGTGTGTTATTATACAACACATATGGGGCAGGCAATACACATGAATGAATAAACTGCAAAATGTTTTCAATTATTCAGCAAGTAAGTCGTACGGACTTTGTCTAAATGCCATGAGTAACTCTTTTTTTATTTGCCAAACTAACAAGAGGCAGGCTAGAGTTGAAAGGGTGGCAACACTGCATTGTTAACTTTGATGGGAGCCAGTGAAAAAGGACCTGAGAAAAATGTAGCATGCAATCAATTACGGAAAATACATAATACCTTTGCCTTCCGAGAAGCCAACTCAACGCTCAGAGCACTTAAGTCGGAGCCGAAAAACACTCTGCTCCATTTCATAGTCCAATAGTGTTTATTTACACTTCATTTCATTGCAAACTAATTAAAAAAAATAAAAATAAATCCCATGCGATCGACACCGATAAGCAAATGGTACCAAAAAAAAAAAACCCACCTGCAACGCGTTTCATTCCCCTAGTGAGCATTTCTCATTGCCAGACATTTCGAATCCGATTGCGCGTTCCGATAAACAGTTGTTCCATGACGTCTTCTTCTTCGTATTCCGCACGACTCATAAACGTAAACAATGCGAAGCGTCGCGACATTTCAACGACAATAGAGCTGAGAAACTGACCACAGACAACACGAACGTGGAGCATAAACAAATAACTGAACACATACACACAAACGCACTAATACGAATACGAATAAGAATACAAATACGAAATACGATTTCAAATACAAATCATAATAAACAAACGAGTGAAGTGAAATGTAGTTCACACACACACACACACACACACAAACACACGCGCACGCACGGAACAAAAAGTGGCAACGCCTACGACAGTTTTTTTCTTGGCTTTGCTTTTGGTTTTGCTTTTCATTTGCCTTTTGCGTATTCATATTCCACTTTAAACACACACACACACACACAGCACAGACACACTCCGGGCCGTTTGGCTATTTCCGCTTATTGTTTCATTTCAATTGTATTGGCAGCTTCATTTTGTTCCATTTCCCACGTCGTTTCAGCCGTTCATAACCTGAAATGGCCCTGAACTACAAGCGAGAAAAAAGTAAATAAAAAACAATATTTTTTTTTTTTATGGCTGACAACTTAGTAACTGGCATTTAATACATCTGTATACATATATTCAAGCTGCTGTTACCCGGCATTGCCCGCAACATACTCTACACAATGCAGCCTGTGTGCACTTACATCGTAATATACCATACAAGGAAAATTACAGTACTTCTGTTTTACAATATCTCTATGGGAAATATCAGAAAAAACGATGCATCAATAAGGTTATGCAGCCCAGATAAGTCCAATGCCAGGGCTGCTGTACACCCAGAACTGACAGACCTCGACAGATACATTTTGTCTTGCAGAAGTCACAAAATCTAGACGGATGTCCAGACTTATATATCTGCGGATGCATGGCAACCTGGCAGCCTATACTATCAGACCAAAAGCAGCACCATTGTTGAATATAATCTAAAATGGATATAGATATATAGATATGTAGATATATAGATATATGGATACATAGATATATAGATATATATCTATAAGGATATAGATACGCACCCACATGAAGCGGATAGGGCGAACAGGCTGAAAACAATTTTGTGGGATCTGGTGTGCTGGTCGCGAATTGTTCGGACGTCAGGTCGACTCTTGATATTTCGGCGCCAGGCATGCAATAATATCCGGTTTGGCTTGTATTGCACTTTGTTTTCCACGCTTTGGCGCAATCATAGCACTGACTGTCGAGACCTATCAAAGAGGGAGAGACGATGGGTTCATCAGTTGTCGAACTTTCGAGTTTGTGAGATCTGCCGCCAGTTAAGAGATGGGCCACACTTACCAGGCACAAGGAACAAGACGACGATCTTTGCCAGAATTATACCATAGAAACTCACCATAATTAACTAAAAAATTTAACAACTTGAAATCTGAAAATACTGTTTGGTTTTTTTTTTTTTATTATATTTTGACACATATCGACAATGTTTTGGGTTCCAAAAACTTTAAATTCCAATGTCTTACTGTCTAGATGGATATCTCTAAATATGATAACCATCTGCCAGATCATTGTCTTGAAAGAGTCAAAGACTTGGTAATATGGAGATTATCATTATGGGAACAACACACAGGACGCAGCAGTGCCCGACTTGAGGCTTCCAGAACAATCGAATCTAGGAGCACACGCCTGACAGATATATCCAAATTTGTGAGTTTCCGTTGAATATATGCATCAGTATCGAGAAGCATAATCGAAAGGAAGCAATATTTCTGTTTAATATACGATATATCCACATAGATGCAGATATTTCAATATTTGAATACATTTCCGCATATCAATCCTCAAATTTGACGACCAACTATTATCGGTCATCATTGGTCTTGGCTCATGGCTAATAGAGCCATCTGTACAGATTTAGTCTCACATTTAACATTCCAATATCTTTCACAATTGTGGCCCTGGCTCCGTACACCTGCTATATGAAGGACCTATTAGAGCTGAGCGAAACGTTGGGCGTTTATTTACCTTTAAGGCTTAGCAAAACAACAAGAAAATAGTACAAATAAAGCATTGCGAACCTAAATATTACGGCTGAAAATATTTATAAAAATATGACAAGGCTAAACCGGAATGCTAAGTGTAAAATGTATCTGAACTAGTTCTCTTTGCTATAATTTATGGTATAAAAACTCCAACTTCCAAATCACAGGTTGAAAGCGCAGACTTATTGCTTTTTATATATTTCATAGATTCGTACTAAATACCTTAATAGTGATATATTCACTATCAAAACAGGGGAACGTTGCCCTTTGCTATTCTTTTGTCCAGGCACGACCATATTGAACGGCAGCCAAATGACGTTTGCATATTTCGATGTGGCCTTAAAAATTGTATTCATTATTTTTTTTTTTCCGATTTAGCCTTAAATGAATTCTTCGCTTTGGCGAAATTCTGTTGAATTTCTTCTTTTTTTTTTAATGCTGATTATGCATAGTGGAACGACCGAATATTCCGAGAAATCAACTGACCAACAACAACAACAACAACAACAGACAGACAGAGGAACGCAATCTTTGCGTTGAGGGAGTGTTGAGTTTTTCGGGATCTGTGTGTGCTTCAACTCGGCGCAGACAGAGGAGACACTAATAACAGGCATCGAATGGGAATTAAATGCATTCGCACAATCCGCAGACAAGTTTTTGGTAACAGTCCTGAGTGGATCCCACACACGGATCCTTCATGAGCTGCTCGCAAATCAGCTTTTAAAACTAACCAGCTTAAGAATTATCCAACCAACTGTTCATAATCTGATCGGCGTTGTTTTTATCAGCTAATTTTAAAGTAGTTTCCGAGTACAATTCATAAAAGTTATACGTTTGAAATGTTTTTTCAGCAATTAAAAAATAAATATCAAATTATATTTTTACTTTGCTTTGACATGTAGAAAAAATAATGAAAAAGTGAGAACTCTAACACGGTCCCAAGCGGAACTTCAAAGTTGATCTTGGCTATGAAATTGATTATAATTAAATTATTTGTTTACCCACAGTTTTGTTTCATAAATACCAAGTACCATTATAATAGTCAAAAACAAGTAACAGTGCTCTTGTCGGGAGTGCCCGACTAGGACATGCCCTAAACCATCTTGGTGGCGATGGCTAGAAAGTGAAAGATACTTGATCTGTGCCCCAAGAGATTTGCTCAAAAACTGAATTTCATTATCGATTATTATCGATTGCTTAAAATTGGAGCAAGCTATCGAGGAGGACCTACGAGGAGGACGAACGGAAAGAAGGACTTGACTAGATCGATTCGGCTGCAGAAGCTGATCAAGAGTATATATACCTTACCCATTTCCAATGGCTGCAGGGTACAAAAAGCTTACAGCCTAAGCATAATACAAATAATATTTATATTGTATAACACAAGGCTAGTTAGCAATAGCCGCTACTCAATTCTTAATCTGAGTTCTTAATGAAACCTTTTTGTTCCGATACACTTTGACTGCCCCTAACTTGGGAGCTCCATTATTGCGTATATATCTGCACTGCGCAGCACAAAGAATCAAATGCAATTTTTAGATTCAAACTCTGATTTCTTTGCACAGAGATAGCCAAGTTTGGGCAGCAGTCGCTAATCATAGACGCTCGCAGCCTGACACCTGACCAAACGCAACACAAATTGGCCTTACACTTTTGGGGCCACTTGTCGCCACTTGCAACCAGCCCCGCCCACTCGCTGCTGCCGCTGCCGAAAACTTTGCCGTTGTCCTCGTCGTCCAATGGCACCCACAGCATTTGGCGGTGGCTGCATTGTTATTCAAATGCTGCCATTAATACTTCACTGGCAATTCCGAGTGCGCCAGCGTTGAGCACGAAATTCTAGAATTGTGGATGCCACCAAACGTGGCAGAGTGTGTGCGCCTATGATTTGCATGGGGGCCACATGTCAGGCGAGTGTGTGTGTGTGTTGGGTGCCTGTGGCTCCGTCTCGGGCTCCTGCTCAGGCTAGTCGCTTTTCATTTGATTTCCAGCAGCTATTCATATGTAAATGCGCTGCGAGACTCCTTGACACACACGCCCATTGGCCACACCTCCTGCCTCATGCCACATGCCACATGCCACAGAGTAGCGCTGTCTGCTTTGGGCTACCCACACGCTGGCTTGGCATTTTTCCTATTGCTTTTCCTTTTGACTAAGGTTCGCCATTGGAAATTTAATATTCGAAAATGAAATTTCAAGTGTTTTGAATTTATTAACTTGCCATTCACAAGCTTCTAACAATTGCCAGCCTGTGGCGAGGGGGTGGCAACGGGTGTGAAGGGGGGGGACGTGCCGACTTAGGCCAGCCCAATTCTCATGTTTTATTTTGCCTGGTCAAAGAAGCCAAACATTGTCCACAAACAATTGGCCGCAAAACTTTGCCCGTACACGCTTGTGCTTTGCGTATCGCCCCCCTATCGCCTGGTATCCCCAGCCTCAATCTCGGCCATAGTTCCGGACTCCTTGGCTCTCAGCAGCCGTTGCTGTGCATTAACGAAACATTGTAACAATAAACTCCACACATGGCAGCCCATCTACCCCAAATGCTTCAATTGTAACGTATAGAAAAAAATATTATTATAGTTGTTCTTGATGAGGGGGCAAAATCATTTGTACGTTAACTCCGAGAGAGCTGCACTGAAACCCCGCTCGAGATGAAGAAGAAGCACGGCAGCAACAACAATAGTGACACTAGGCAACATCAATAATAGCAACTAGGAACACAATGCACCAACAACAACAGCAACAACATCATCCCTCAGAAAAGGTATTGAATTTCAGTGCATGTCTTTGCTGTCCGATTTCCCGAACGTCGTAAGTATCCCTCGCCCTGTCGCATCACTCTTTTTCCATGCCCTGCTAGTAAAGGGTATTTTAATTTCATCATTAAACTTGTGACGCCTTGCAGCAGACATTTGTTCCTTATCTGTATCTAAAGTCATGCTGATTAGGTTCTGATCTCTACCCGAAACTCAATTTCGATGCGAACTTTCCGCTCAGTCATGAAATTTGGAATATTTCACTTAACTGAAACAGCCGTCGTAACTTTTTCAAAATAGCCTTGGCATTTATTAGTTAAAATAAGCTAGACTACAAAATTAGGTGCCTCTAGGGGAAGAATTAGTCGAGAAATTAGTCCTATGGAAAATGTAGAACAAATCGATCGAAAGCAAAGCTCTTCTATACACAGCCTCATCTCCGCAAGCGTATTCAATCTTCGGTCTGCAGAATGTTTTTTTTTTCTTGCGTGTTTTTTTTTTTGGTTCGGTCTCGTTGAGGCATTTAATGAATTTATCAGCTGTGGCCATCGACTGTGTCTGAGTTCTGAGGTTTCGCTGGGTTCTGTTTTTTTTTTTTTTTTTTTGGTTCCATTTTCAGCTTGAGACATTTTCGTAGAACTCTCGGCAGCACATTTTGGGTCATTGTAAATTCAAATACTTGTGCACTCCATCTCTTTTTCTTCCTCCGCTCTCAAGTCCGTCTTTATTACCATTTAATGTGCCTCATTCGCTGTAATGTTAATGGATTTGTGTGTAAACTTCTTTCCGAACGGGGTTACAGCGGGGGGTCCACGCCCTCAATCATGTCTCCAGACAGTCGTCAATGTTTTCGAATAGTTTCCCAAATCTTTCAATCTAATTGTGAATTCAATTGTGAATGTCTCAAATAGCGCAGTCATAAATTGTCCATAAATTGTATAAAATAGGAAAAAAAAATCTCGTCGAACGTTTGCTCCAATCGACATTCCTGTTGCTGAATTTGTTACCCTTTGAGCTGACAGTTATTCCTTAATATGCTTCCATAGTTGCCAAATTTCTGTTTCATTTCGTTTTGTTTCATGCTCTTACTTTTCATACATTTCTTCATATTTCAGCTTAACTGAAGCCTTATGGCTTCTTCTTTGAGACTTGAGTTTTTTCATTTATGGCTTTATTTACTTCTACTGCCCTTTATTTTATATTTTCCGACTGTTCCATTCCCATTTCGTTTCTAAACATCTCTTTACCTTTTAAAACTGTTAGTTAACTTCCATTTCGTGTCTCATTATCGTAGATCCTCTTTAATTTTCTCACCATTTCACAATTTCATCCCGTTTCTGTTCCCTATTCGTGCATGCATTGTTATTATACATATATTCAATTAGGCTTATCCAGCACATTTACTTGTGATGTTTTATTCCATCGTTCCTATCCGGTCAATTAATGTCAAATTAATTTATTCATTTCGTGATATTTATTTTAATTAAAATTATGTTGGAATGCGTTTTTCAGCACATTCAATTCTGGCGTTTCATTCCATCATTCCAGTTAATATACAAAATATTACTCTTTTTTTTTCTTTTAAATATGCTAGCAAAGGTTTTCGGTTGCTTAAACCCTCTTAAATGATTCCCTTCGTATTACGTGCAACTCGGGCCATAAAACTTTAAAATGTAACCTGGTGATACACGAAATTCCAATAAGGTAGTCAAAACATGGAATAACTCTCACGCTACGTTGTTTAACGCCCAAAAAACAAGCAGCAGCAATAAAACTTTAAGTAAACACTGTAATTGTGGTTGGCAAACGATGAACATGAACCGCAAAACTGCAAAAGCAGTATCCGGGCATATGTATGTATGTATAAGGATAGACCAAAGCCAGACCCAGACTCAGTCCCAGACGCAGACCCACATCCAGACTCCAGACAGCGGCACCTGCCTGCTGCACAGTGGAGGGCAGTCGCATGTGGATTAAAGACAAGTTGCAACAACGCCGTGGGGCAGGACTAGAAAGTACACACAATTGTAGATGCAGTTGAATGAAAAGTATCTACAAGCAGCACGAAAACAACAAGATACAACTACAAGATACAAGACAGGCACAATAAAACAGACAAACACAGAGACAGACAGACGTCGGACAGACGGGACTAACTAACACCGACAACAAGA